GTATGTATGTATGTATGTATGTATGCGTGTATGCATGCATGTGTGTGTGTATGTATGTGTGTGTGTATGTATGTATGTGTGTGTGTATGTATGTATGTATGTATGTATGTATGTATGTATGAATATGTATGCATGTATGTATGTATGTATGTATGTATGTATGTGTATGTGTGTATATGAATTATGTATGTATGTATGATTGTATGTGTTTGTGTGTGTGTTTGCATGCAAATATGTATTATGTGGGTGTATGTATGTATGTATGTATGTATGTATGTATGTATGTACGTAGGTATGTATGCATGTATGTATGTATGTATGTGGGTGCATGTACACATTTAGTGTGTTTGTGTTTGTGTGTGTATGTATGTGCGTGTATGTATAATGTATGTCTGTACATGAGTGTATGTGTATGTATGAGCATGTAAGAGTATGTGTACAAGTGTGAGTTTGAGTGTGTATGATTGTGTATACATGATGTATGTATGCATTATTTAATAATGTTTACTTTTATATAAACGTAACATGCATTATTGATAACATACAATGGTGCTCTGAAAGATGAGTGCTTAGATGGGCCGAATGTAGTGCCCAATTTTTAACCCTTCAAAAATAAAGTTTATTCGTTCATTCGTTAGACAGCAGCAAGATAATGTCCACAAAAACAAAACGAGTCAAGCAGTGAAATTCAGCCTACAATGTATCTCTAGAAATGGACAGACAGATCTTATGAAGGCTATACATTCAAGGATCAGGAAAAGATTAAGTATTCTGAGGTAGCACTGTATACGGATAGTGAGTTAAGTGCATGTGACAATGCAATGCAATGCTTTTTTTAGCTGGACAGCAGCTGGTTTGTGTTGAGAACTGTAGATTCAGAAAATGGCAAGTGACTAGTTGCCATAGAACTGATGGTGCCTTATGCAATACTGCATGTGCAACTTGCATGTGTAACTTGCACGTACAACTGCTAACTTAACTGCAGCTTCCATCATTGATAAACTGCAATATTAGTGGTAGACTGCGCCTGTTGGCCCGTCTGACAACTGCCTTGTGTATTTAATGTGGGTGTATGCTGTATACCTTGGACAGCCAAAAAGAGCATCCAAGAGGTTTTGAAAGAGGCGGGAGCCCGAAGACAACTTATCACAGACATCAGTCATCATTTTTCGGCCATGTTATGAAAAAAGGGAAAATAGAACATGTTGTGACCACTGGAAAGATCTGTGGAAGGAGGGATAGAGGAAGACAACGAGAGAAGATTCTTGACAGTCTTGTTGCATGGCATGGAGGTGTCTGATACATGCTGCAGGAGATCGTGGATTATGGAGAGGCATGATTGCCCAGGCCAGTTGGCTTTGCTGGGAATAAAGTCCATTTCAATTATTGTTCACAAGGGACAGTGGTTTTCACTGGCTCAGGAATTGAGCAGTTACAGGGCGACACATTTGCCATGAGCACAAGAACATAAATGACACCATACAGACATACAAGTGTGCTGTAACTAACAGTCTTAAAAAACATATGTATTATACAAAACACGGGTAGATTATAACTAAACCAGATGTATTAAATAAATGCATTACAACACACATACATACAAGCTGGTTGGAAATACATGCTTACCTATAAGTGATTTATAACTAACACATTTATGGGCATTTAAGTGGGTAACAACTATGAGTGCTTTACAGTTAAATTAACAGTTAGTTAGTTAGTTAGTTAGTTGGGTTATCATCATTGCACTCCGGACATGTCCATAGGTGCTCAGATCCTCCCCTCAGTATGAATCCCAACGTCCGATGGCTAATAGTACCAGTTCTATGTTGATTAACAAGTCTTCTGACGTGTCCGGTGTGCGTCTCGTTTTTTGCTGTGCCGATCTTAATTCCCAAGTCTGCCATTCTGGCGAGTGATGTGGATTCACTGCCACCAAAGTCCTCTATCCTTCCCATTTCTCTGAGGGCATTGATAATATCAGCATGATCCATAGGCCGACCGTCGGTAGTGATAGCGGATCCAGCCAACCTGTCAGCTCTTTCATTTCCATCGACGCCTGCGTGTCCCGGAACAAAAATAAAGGTGACTCCTCGCACAGTGGACTTCTGTAATGATTCAAGCCATTGATAAATTAACAGTACAAGAATACAATGCAGTTTTAACAAAAAGAGAACTTCTTCTTTGTCACCGGTTGTAAGCTCTGAAGCAAAGTCCTGGTTGTTCGTCCATTTTGACTTTGTGCCAGGGCCTGAGTTTTTCGTGTACATCCAATTTTTGTATGCAGTTGGTTGTTCTTTGCTGCTCGCCAGATGCACTCCGACTTCGAAGGAAACTCCCGATCAGTCGACTCTTACAACATGCTTTTTTGTGTGGGTAGGCAGTGGGTTTATTCTTGTTTTCCCCAACAATGAGGTCCCTGAACCCATATAGAGAACAAGAAAACATGCAGATACACAGGTACCACCAGTAGTAAACAGCCGAGCCTAGTTATTCCGGTAGTATGACATGGCTAGGCACTGTTCACTGATGGAATCAGTATTCATACAGCTTAACCTGATTTGACTGATGTGATTACACAATAATTATATAGCTTAACCTGCTTTGATTAATTAAATCACACAACCTGCTTTGATTGATGAGATCACTCATTATTTATATAGCTTAATCTGCTCCGACTGATGAGATCACTCAATATTTTTTATAGCTTAACCTGCTTTGATTGATAAGATCACACAATATTTATATAATTTAACCTGCTTTGATTGATGAGATCACACAATATTTATATAACTTAACCTGCTTTGATTGATGAGATCACACAATATTTATATAATTTAACCTGCTTTGATTGATGAGACCACTTAATATTTCTACAGCTTAACCAGTTTTGATTTATGAGATCAATGAATATTTCTATAGCTGTACCTTTGGTTGATATGATCACTTAATATTTTTATAGCTTAACCTGTTTTGATTTACAAGATCACTCATTTCTATCTGTACCTTTGGTTTCACTCAATATTTTTCACCTGTTTTGAGCTGTACTCCTCTGGCGGAAAGTTCTTTTTGCTCATCCACTACTGAACTGCAGTCCTGCTCCAGAACCTGAGTGTTGCGTGTGCATCAGTTTTACAGATCTCATTCTCTTGAATACAGACTGTTGGTTCCTTGCCTCTCCGGCAGATGCACTCCGACTTCAAAGGAAGCTCTCCAATTAGTCGACTCTTACGACATGCTTTTGGGGAGGCAGTGGGTCTATCTCTTGTTTTCCCCACAATGGGGCCCCGGAACCCACATGGGGGACTCAGTATTCCTATAGTTTAACCTGCCTTGTTTGATGAGATCATTCAGTAATAACGAGCTTAACCAGCCTTGATCAATGAGATCACTCAGCATTCCTATAGCTAACACCCTGATCAACGATATGACATTTTACCATCTAGGAAAGAAAAAGCACAGCCATTCATAAGTCTCCATCAGATTTCACAGTTCCCCCTGGAATGCACACCTCCCGAGTGATACCTGTCTGTACATGCTCTGTTCAACAATGCACACCTCCCGAGTGATACCTGTCTGTACATGCTCTGTTCAACAATGCACACCCCCGAGTGATACCTGTCTGTACATGCTCTGTTCAACAATGCACACCTCCCGAGTGATACCTGTCTGTACATGCTCTGTTCAACAATGCACACCTCCCGAGTGATACCTGTCTGTTCATGCTCTGTTCAACAATGCACACCTCCCGAGTGATACCTGTCTGTACATGCTCTGTTCAACAATGCACACCTCCCGAGTGATACCTGTCTGTACATGCTCTGTTCAACAATGATCACCTAATGTAGGTGATACCTGTATCTGTACAGCTGCTCTGTTCAACAATGCACAACAAAGGTGAGTCATGAACAGACCATATGTTAAGCCTTAAATCTTCCTCAAAGTGTAAACTTCATCTTTTCCCACTTACTGCCAGATATAGGCATACTTCTGGTGAAGTTTGAGATCAGAACACAACATCTGATTATAATGAACTGATGTACTACATCTATCTATCTATCCAACAACTAATTTATTGAATTAATCAGACTGATGTACCACATCTATCTATTCAACAACTGATGGCAGTAAAATGATTTTTCACCTCAATCTATCCAATATTTGCTGGCAACAAAATGATGCACATCTACCTACCCAACACTTGCTGATAATACAGTTATACATACTTATCTATCCAGCAACTGATTATAACCATGTGACAGAGCATGTGTGTTTGGTGTTTGCCCAACAAATGATGGTAGCTTTATGATAAAACATTCACATATGGTTTGCCAAACAACTGCTGAAACAGCATACATGTAAATGTGTTATTGACAATGAATGTATGATAGAGCAAAACAAGACATGTCTGTCTGTTACTGAGGACATAAAGCATAACCTATCCTGTTACTGAGGACTCAAACATGACAGAGAAAATCATGACATGTCCCTCTGTTACTGGGGACTCAAACATGACAGAGAAAATCATGACATGTCCCTCTGTTACTGAGGACTCAAACATGACAGAGAAAATTATGACATGTCCCTCTGTTACTGAGGACTCAAACATGACAGAGAAAATCATGACATGTCCCTCTGTTACTGAGGACTCAAACATGACAGAGAAAATCATGACATGTCCCTCTGTTACTGAGGACTCAAACATGACAGAGAAAATTATGACATGTCCCTCTGTTACTGAGGACTCAAATATGACAGAGAAAATCATGACATGTCCCTCTGTTACTGAGGACTCAAATATGACAGAGAAAATCATGACATGTCCCTCTGTTACTGAGGACTCAAACATGACAGAGAAAATTATGACATGTCCCTCTGTTACTGAGGACTCAAATATGACAGAGAAAATCATGACATGTCCCTCTGTTACTGAGGACTCAAATATGACAGAGAAAATCAAGACATGTCTCTCTGTTACTGAGGACTCAAATATGATAGGGAAATCAAGACATATCCATCTGCTCTTCTGCCTGTTCCCAAGAGTCTGTCCTACGCAAGCTGATAACCTGAAAGTCTGGTTTATAATAAGGATTAAAGCTGCTGTGAGACAGCTGCGAAACTGCTGAACTGTGCTGAGGCAAGAAATCTGCTGCCACACTGACAGTCTGCTGGGCCACCAATCCATGGGATAACTGGTGGAAATGCTGCTGAAGATTGGGATTTTCTGGAGAAGGCTGAGGACTCTGGAACAACAGAGTTAGTTCAGGTGATACAGAAGCAGTTGGTTGATGTTCAACATAAGGTTCATCAAGAGAGATAGATAAAGCAGGCACAGTGTAATCAGGTCGCAACTGCTGGTGGGACATTGCAAGAGATGATGATAAAGGTGATGATGATATCAATGGACTATTATTTTGATTCTGGAAAGGGTGAACAGCCATGAACACTCCTGTCCTCCTCTGCCAGGGTCCATGTGGTACCACAAGATCTTCTTCTGGTAGTTTGTCAGTGTGTTCATGGGATGCTTGTATATACTGGAGACTGCCCAAAAGTGATGGTGGCAGCTGCTGTAGTCTTGAAGGACTTGGCCCCTTAGGGTCAAGCATCGGGCTGAAATCTGTTTCACTGGGGGCCATCACAAACTCCTCAAGTTGACTAGCAGGCTCGACTCCCAGTGATGACAATGGTGGATTTAGCCAGCGCTGATGGACCTGCACTTCTTGGTGTAAGGACAATCCGCGGTACTGGCTGGAGTCTGATGTCGTGGACATGCAGTGCGCAGGAACTCCGGGGGAACAACTTGACTGGAGCAGTACTGAGCTGGTGCTGTTAAGTAGAATGTTGTGAGGATTTATGTAACCAAAGGATGGAATGTAGGATGTGGGCTGCACCAACCAAGTGGATGACAATGAAGATGATGTGCTTGGCTGTAGCTGCAATTGGTTGTTTGTAAACTGGAGGTGTGGATGTATCTGTGATGGACTGTAATCAGAGACCCCAGGGTGGTAATGTTCAAACTGAGCTGAAGGGGCCGCAGGCTGTGAGTTATTGCTTGTATCTGTATTGAGAATGTTAATACAACTGGAATCTAGATGTCTTTGACCAATAATGAAAGAACAGCTGTCACTGTCTATACCGGAATCTACATGTCTTTGACCAATAATGAAAGAACGGCCATCACTGTCTATACCGGAATCTAGATGTCTTTGACCAATAATGAAAGAACGGCTGTCACTGTCTACCTGATAACCCATGGAATGGTTGAGGCCAAGGTTCGTAGTCAATGCTGCTGTCTGCAAATCTGGAGAATACATGTGTGAGCTATTCACTGAGTGAAGCTGAGTTTCGTTCAACGATTTTGTGTCTTGGATATCATGTGGACTGACAGGCACCTGGGGGGACTGGGCTCCTTCTGGTGTGTGGCTCAATGATGACATGAACATTCCCTGTTGAGCATGGGCCGGGAATGCTGCCTCCGCTGTCCCTAGTTGCCACATGTTTGAGAGCGAGTGGACAAACCAATCCTGGCCTGACCTTTCATCCCCTGAAGCTCTGTGCTGGAACATCTCTGCACGTTGCTGACATGGTAACAAAACACCAAGCCTAAGTTCCTCTACTGCTTCCGTTTTCCCAGACTGTGATGGCGTTGTTCTCCCAGAAGTTGTGTCATGACTAGACAGATTATCACAGCACAAACTGGACTTTCTCGAATGCACCGCAATTCGTTCAGCACCAGATGTGGACTTGGCGAGACATTGTTGGGATGTGACTGTCTTCTGTGAGAAAGCTTGCTGCTCTAGCAAATGGGCAAGTACTTGGCTCAAACAACCTGGACCTGCCTAAACAGTGAAAATAAACAACACAGTTATCAGCTGACAGTAAAGCAAAGGCACACGATAATGCAGGTGCTTGACAGTAGTGTCATACCACTGTACACTAAAATAAGGCATTTTTACCAATAAAATAACATATTAGCTAGAGATAATATAACATATTAGCTAGAGATAATATAACATATTAGCTAGAGATAATATAACATATTAGCTAGAGATAATATAACATATTAGCTAGAGATAATATAACATATTAGCTAGAGATAATATAACATATTAGCTAGAGATAATATAACATATTAGCTAGAGATAATATAACATATTAGCTAGAGATAATATAACATATTAGCTAGAGATAATATAACATATTAGCTAGAGATAATATAACATTTTAGCTAGAGATAATATAACATATTAGCTAGAGATAATATAACATATTAGCTAGAGATAATATAACATATTAGCTAGAGATAATATAACATATTAGCTAGAGATAATATAACATATTAGCTAGAGATAATATAACATTTTAGCAAGAGATAATATAACATATTAGCTAGAGATAATATAACATATTAGCTAGAGATAATATAACATATTAGCTAGAGATAATATAACATATTAGCTAGAGATAATATAACATATTAGCTAGAGATAATATAACATATTAGCTAGAGATAATATAACATATTAGCTAGAGATAATATAACATATTAGCTAGAGATAATATAACATATTAGCTAGAGATAATATAACATATTAGCTAGAGATAATATAACATATTAGCTAAAGATAATATAACATATTAGCTAGAGATAATATAACATTTAAGCTAGAGATAATATAACATTTTAGCAAGAGATAATATAACATATTAGCTAGAGATAATATAACATTTTAGCAAGAGATAATATAACATATTAGCCGGTGATAATATAACTCTATTAGTCTGTCATTGCCAAATATCATCACTACTTGTCTCTACCACTTTGGTAGTGAAGGTGGAGAGAGGGGGGTGGGGTGTGGTCTTGAAGATTTATGGCAGCATGCCTAGAGCTGTAACCATGGATTGTGCAAGTTAGAGATTTTATTTTTGCCCAGACATCATTTTTGTTTAAACACAGGATTCAACCTGGGTCTCCCGCATGAGAGTCTGATATTCTTAACCATTTAGCCAGGCGCTCATCACTGTGTTCGTAATTGATAATATAATGTTAGTCAATGATACTATAATTTAAACACTGATAATATGTTAGTCATTGATTATAATATAATAATGTTAGCCACAGATATGGTAGTCACTGATTGCATGTTAGTTACTAATAATATGTTAGTCTCTGATAATATAATTTACGTCAAAGATATTATAATTTATTCACTGATGATATGTTAGTCATTGATTATATTATAATATAATGTTAGTCACAGATATGGTAGTCACTGATAATATGTTAGTCATTGATTATAATATAATATAATGTTAGTCACAGATATGTTAGTCACTTATTACATGTTAGTTACTAATAATATGTTAGTCTCTGATAATATAATGTTAGTCACTGATAATATAATGTTAGTCACTGATTATGTTAGTTACTAAACATATGTTAGTCATCATCATCATCATCATGTACCCTGCCAACTGGCGTAGGCGCTCATGCATCTCCACAGATCACAATCCCTGGTTGACCGGAACAGCTCTCTTGATGATATCCCTCTATGCCATCATTTCAGCCCATCCAGCATCATCTCTTTTGGTCTGCCTCTACCCCTTTTTCCAGTTGTCACGATGATATCCAATGTCTTTCTTCTCATTATTTAGCCAAAGAAAAGTGTTTGTCTCTTTCTTATTGTTGTGTATAGAGATCTACTTTCATTAGCTTCTTTCAAGCAATTGTTGTTAGTTACTCTGGCCATCCAAGGTATTCGTAACATTCGTCTTAGAAACAACATCTTTGTTGCTTCCAAATTCTTCTTAATTTGTTCACTAACATTCCAAGATTCGCTGCCATACAGCAGAACAGGTTCTATGTAACATTTTAGCACCCTCTTTCTGACATTAAATGTTGAATGTTGAATTAAAAATTGACATCATAGTACTCGGGAAACCTCCATAAGTGCTCCGTCCCCATCTTCAGCAGCAAGCGAAGAGTTAAAACTCCGATGGTACCAGCAGCTGTCTGAATGTATATCCGTCTGCCCTTTTCCCTGAGTGTCGAGCGTCGGCCAGATAGCCTTGAAACTCCTCGTAGTGCAATTCTCCTCAGACCGTAATGATCTATCTGTTCCTTGGCACTGTGTGTCTCATTCCCAAAGGGCTCTCACAACATCCAGCTTTTCATAAATCAGTTCACCATCAAGTGGTGCAGAACCGGCCAGTCTATCTGCCTGCTCACTTCCCAACACACCAGTATACCCTGGAGAAAATACCCAAAGGATGCTAACAACCCGGGACCTCTGAAGTGATGCTTGCCACTCTGCACTGAGCATGCCGGTCTCCACCTTTCTCAACATGCTCTGTGAGTCAGTTACAATCTAGGCATGTGTGTACAGCTGATTCTCAAGCCAACGGAAGGCAGCAGTGACTGCCTCCACCTTCAATTTCAAACTAGACGTTGTGATATCATATGCCAGGCTTTGTTGCACCAAGCGACGTGCCTTCGCTATGAATCCCCATGCACTTCGTCTGCCCCTTAACACAGAGCCATCTGTATATACAATCACATCACTTGGGCAGAAATTGTTGACATTAAATCAGAGCAATTTATTGCATGAAATATTTTTCATTTTCTGAGATGCAGCTTTTGCTTGACCTATTCTGCTTTTAATCTCTGTCACACCTTTTCCATATCATGATATGATTGTTCCCAGACATTTGAATTTATTGACTTGATTAAGTCTTTTTTCCTTCAATTGAGATATCACAATGTGGAGTTATCTTTTTCTTTGATATAACCATTACTTCCGTTTTCATAATATTCAATGAAAGTCCTTTCCTAGCACTCTCCATCCACACAATATCCAGCAGTTGTTATAAATCAGTTGCATTTTCAGCTATCAAAACTGTATCGCCTGCATTACACAAATTGTTTATATTGTATCCCTCAACTCTTACTCCTGCATTCTCTTTAATTTTACTCAAAATTATTTCACTATATATAATGTTAGTCACTGATAATATAATGCCAGTTACTGATAATATGTTAGTCACTGATTATATGCTAGTCACTGATTATATGCTAGTCACTGATTATATGCTAGTCACTGATTATATGCTAGTCACTGATTATATGCTAGTCACTGATTATATGCTAGTCACTGACATGATAGGGGGCCGCCGAGGTGTAGCGACTAGATGTCCCCCCAGCAAATCCTAAGGTTGGCGGTTTAAATGTGAATGCAGCCAGATTTCTTTTTACCTCCAAAAGACGAAATTGGCTACCAGGTGGACCCTGCAAAAATGGGTCCTAGGTAACATCCTGGGAAGTAAAGGTGGCCAGCCTGATGCTGTTAACATCACCCATCAAGTGTCAGTCTATAAAATTTAGGTCTAGCACAATATGCCTAATATGCCTATAGGTGTACTGATACGATAATGTGTTAAATCATTAATAAAATATATGTCCGTCACTGGTGCTAATATACAAAGTATGTGCCGGTAGATTCTATTCATCAACAATGCCACACAAAGACAGCCGGTACCTGAGAAGTTGGGCTGGTACTAAATGCGGTTTCTGCCGAGGGCAACAGATTGAGCTGTTGAAACTGGTGAGCCAGCTGACCGTGTTTCACGTGGGTCTGCTGCTGCTCACTGGGCAGGTGACTTAAACCCGTGGGATTAAACAAGTCTCTCGTTGCTGTTGTCATGGACGACATAGTGGGCATGTCTGACGTCTGCTGGCCATCCATGTTCTCCTGGCTGCTAGCTTTCACTAAATGTTCTTCAACCTGTAGGACACAGCATAATCTGATGTAAGACACAGCTCACTCTGAGGTAAGATATGAGTACCATCTGATGTAAGATAGAGTACCATCTGATGTAAGATAGAGCACCATCTGATGTAAGATAGAGCACCAGCTGTTGCAAGATAGAGTACCAGCTGTTGCAAGATAAAGTACCATCTGATGTAAGATAAAATACCATCTGACGTAAGATAGTGCACCATCTGATGTAAGATAGAGTACCATCTGATGTAAGATAGAGAGCCATCTGATGTAAAATAGAGCACCATCTGATGTAAGATAGAGTACCATCTGATGTAAGATATAGTACCATCTGATGTAAGATAGAGTACCATCTGAGGTAAGATAAGAGTACCACATGATGAAAGATAGAGTACCACATGATGAAAGATAGAGTACCATCTGATGTAAGATAGAGCACCATCTGATGTAAGATAGAGTACCATCTGATGTAAGATAGAGTACCATCTGAGGTAAGATAAGAGTACCACATGATGAAAGATAGTGTACCATCTGATGTAAGATAGAGTACCATCTGATGTAAGATAGAGTACCATCTGATGTAAGATAGAGTACCATCTGATGTAAGATAGAGTACCATCTGATGTAAGACAGAGTACCATCTGATGTAAGATAGAGTACCATTTGATGTAAGATAGAGTACCATCTGATGTAAGATAGAGTTCCATCTGATGTAAGATAGAGCACCATCTGATGTAAGATAGAGTACCATCTGATGTAAGATAGAGTACCATCTGAGGTAAGATAAGAGTACCACATGATGAAAGATAGAGTACCATCTGATGTAAGACACAGCTCACTCTGATGTAAGATAGAGTACCATCTGATGTAAGATAGAGTACCATCTGATGTGAGATAAGAAAGAGTACTATCTGATGTAAGATAGAGTACCATTTGATGTAAGATAGAGTACCATCTGATGTAAGATAGAGTACCATCTGATGTAAGATAGAGCACCATCTGATGTAAGATAGAGTACCATCTGATGTAAGATAGAGTACCATCTGAGGTAAGATAAGAGTACCACATGATGAAAGATAGAGTACCATCTGATGTAAGACACAGCTCACTCTGATGTAAGATAGAGTACCATCTGATGTAAGATAAGATAGAGTACCATCTGATGCAAGATAGAGTACCATCTGATGTGAGATAAGAAAGAGTACTATCTGATGTAAGATAGAGTACCATCTGAGGTAAGATAAGAGTACCATCTAATGTAAGACACAGCTCACTCTGGTGTAAGATAAGAATACCATCTGATGTAAGATAAGAAAGAGTACCATCTGATGTAAGATAGAGTACCATCTGATGTAAGATAGCGCACCATCTGATGTAAGATAGAGTACCATACCATATAATGTAAGATAGAGCACCATCTGATGTAAGATAGAGTACCATACCATATAATGTAAGATAGAGTACCATCTGATGTAAGATAGAATACCATCTGATGAAAGACAGAGTACCATCTGATGTAAGATAGAGTACCATTTGATGTAAGATAGAGTACCATCTGATGTAAGATAGAGTACCATCTGATGTAAGATAGAGCACCATCTGTTCTGAGGTAAGATAAGAGTACCACATGATGAAAGATAGAGTACCATCTGATGTAAGACACAGCTCACTCTGATGTAAGATAGAGTACCATCTGATGTAAGATTAGATAGAGTACCATCTGATGCAAGATAGAGTACCATCTGATGTGAGATAAGAAAGAGTACTATCTGATGTAAGATAGAGTACCATCTGAGGTAAGATAAGAGTACCATCTAATGTAAGACACAGCTCACTCTGGTGTAAGATAAGAATACCATCTGATGTAAGATAAGAAAGAGTACCATCTGATGTAAGATAGAGTACCATCTGATGTAAGATAGCGCACCATCTGATGTAAGATAGAGTATCATACCATATAATGTAAGATAGAGCACCATCTGATGTAAGATAGAGTACCATACCATATAATGTAAGATAGAGTACCATCTGATGTAAGATAAGAAAGAGTACCATCTGATGTAAGATAGAGTACCATCTGATGTAAGAAAGAGTACCATCTGATGTAAGATAAAGTACCATCTAATGTAAGATAGAGTACCATCTGATGTAAGATAGAGTACCATCTGATGTAAGATAGACTACCATCTGATGTAAGATAGAGTACCATCTGATGTAAGATAGAGTACCATCTGAGGTAAGATAAGAGTACCACATGATGAAAGATAGAGTACCATCTGATGTAAGACACAGCTCACTCTGATGTAAGATAGAGTACCATTTGATGTAAGATAAGATAGAGTACCATCTGATGCAAGATAGAGTACTATCTGATGTGAGATAAGAAAGAGTACTATCTGATGTAAGATAGAGTACCATCTGAGGTAAGATAAGAGTACCATCTAATGTAAAACACAGCTCACTCTGGTGTAAGATAAGAATACCATCTGATGTAAGATAAGATAGCGCACCATCTGATGTAAGATAGAGTACCATACCATATAATGTAAGATAGAGCACCATCTGATGTAAGATAGAGTACCATACCATATAATGTAAGATAGAGTACCATCTGATGTAAGATAAGAAAGAGTACCATCTGATGTAAGATAGAGTACCATCTGATGTAAGAAAGAGTACCATCTGATGTAAGATAGAGTACCATCTGATGTAAGATAGAGTACCATCTGATGTAAGATAGAGTACCATCTGATGTAAGACAGAGCACCATCTGATGTAAGATAGAGCACCATCTGATGTAAGATAGAGTACCATACCATATAATGTAAGATAGAGCACCATCTGATGTAAGATAAGAAAGAGTACCATCTGGTGTAAGATAGCACACCATCTGATTTAAGATAAGAGTACCATCTGATGTAAGATAGAGTACCACCTGATGTAAGATAATCACCATCTGATGTAAAATAGAGTATTATCTAATGCTAAAATAGTGTTTTAAAATGTCTAAATTAGGTAGAGTGCTGAAATGTCTAATTGAAGCACAGCGTTCAAATGTTCTTATAAGGTAAAGTACACAATGCTAATATACAGCTGAATGCTCCAATTCCCAGATTTGTTAAGAGTTCTGAAATGTCTACCTTAAACAGTATTTGAATATCATTCATACATGTATAACAGATTAAACATTTACATACCATAGTCAGACATCTCCAAGTGAATATACACTGACATATAAACTGATCATTTCAACTGTGATAATATGATTGATTTAGTGGCGAATGTGACGTACAGTGGCAGGTGTGATGTACAGCAGCAGTAAATGTGACATATAGTGGCAAGTGTAACGTACAGTGGGAGGTGGGATGTACAGCAGTAAATGTGACATATAGTGGCAAATGTGAGATACAGTGGCAAAAGTGACGTACAGTGGCAGGTGTGATGTACTGCAGTAAATGTGACGTACAGTGACAGGTGTGATGTACAGTGGCAAATGTGACAGTTAGCGGCAAGTTTGAAGACCGTGACAAATCTAACACGTACAGTGGCAAATGTGACATACAGTGGCAAATGTGACGTACAGTGACAGGTGTGATGTACAGTGGCAAATGTGACAGTTAGCGGCAAGTTTGAAGACAGTGACAAATCTAACACGTACAGTGGCAAATGTGACAGCTAGCGGCAAGTTTGAAGACCGTGACAAATGTAACACGTACAGTGGCAAATGTGACGTACAGTGGCAAATGTGACATACAGTGGCAAATGAAAAATTAATGAAATAAATTAGATTTACAGTGATGTATAACAAACATTTCAAACCTGTATTGCTTGTTTAAGAGCCAGCAATCGATGTGGGGGCATATCAAATGTCTCTGATGGCAAACTCATCCTCTTGATTAAAGGTCGCCTTCGTTGTGAGGACTGTTCATCCAGAGACCACTGACGGAATCCATGAAGGGGCGCAGATAACTTGCGGTGAAGTTGTGGAGGTTTCTGAACTGCAGCTGCTGCAGCTGTGCTTGTTGCTGTACTAGTGATGGTTGGCGCTGGGACGGGAGCTGTAGGCAATGGGCTGCTTGTGGGACTGTGCTTCTGGTCTGACATCTGAGAACTATACATGTTCTGGGGATCAACAAGTGTGTCTATTATACATCTATTCAAGATCAACAAGGGTGAGAATTATTCTTGTTCTGGGAATCAACAAATGTGAGAATTATTCATGTTCTGATGGATCAGGGAGTTTGTGAATTATACATGTTCAGGGGATCAGCGAGTGTGAGAATTATACATGTTCAAGGGATCAACAAGTGTGTAAATTATACATTTTTTCAAGGTCAACAAGGGTGAGAATTATGCTTGTTCTGGGAATCAACAAATGTGAGAATTATTCATGAGTTATGAGTTGTGAGTTATGAGTTCGATTATCTTCACAGCACTCCAGACACATCCATAGGCGCTCAGATTCCCCTCTCAACATATTCATCAGTGTCGTGCGGTTAATAGTACCAGTCCTATGTTGTAGAGCATTATTCATGTTCTGGGGATCAAGGAGTTTGTAAATTATACATGTTGAGGGGATCAGCGAGTGTGAGAATTATACATGTTCGGGAGATCATGTTCTGGGGATCAACAAAAGTGAGAACTACATGTTCTGGTGATCAACAAGTGTGAGGATTATACATGTTCTGGGCATCAAAGAGTGTGAGAATTATACATGTTCTGGGCTTCAATGATTGTGAGAATTATACATGTTCTGGGGATCAACCAATGTACAGAAATTACTATAATCCTGCCACTGTCTTGTAACCTGTCAATATTGTTGTTAAGGATATCAAGAGTGTTAAGTAAATGTAATCATGGTGCAGATAAACATGGTGCCATCACAATGACAGTTTAAAGATGGCTGCCCCACTTTTGACATGCACCAGTGAAGGGTAAAACCTTTAGAAATTCATCAGTGAATTAAGATTCAGTAAGGCGATGCATGCCTGTCAGTCCAGCAACTGTATGAGTGGAGTAGGAAGTTTAAAAATGGTGTGACTTCTGGGACAGACTGTTCAGACAGAGAAATAGTGGAGACATACAAAGAAAGCATTGCGAGTCCAACTCGTAATCCACATACCGCAATCGAAACCCACTGCTGGCTGCATGGATTTTTATCATGGTATGGGGCATCGCAGGTCGACCCAGCCTAAAATGGGTAACAGGATGGCTGTCCTGGAAAAGTAAAGACGGCCGGCGTAATGCTGACCACATTACCCATCCAGTGCCGATTGGTCTGTAAAAATAAAGGAAAGCTCTTCCTATATACCCGATGCGCCTTAGGCGTTATAAGGGATCTTTACTTTTACTTTTTTACAAAGATAGTGGAGTTAGGAATAAACAGTGGGCACAATGACACAGACCTACATTGCAGACTAAGTCAGCTGAACTCACCTGCAGCTGCTGATGCTCTTGTCTTAGCTCCATCATTCCCTGAGCTCTCATGCTCTCCTTCAGTTTTTGCTTGAAGGCAATAATTCCCTGAGTAACAAGGCCATCTGAGGCCCTTCGACCTTCTCGGAAGTTGACAGGTGACCTGGTCTGAGCTCTATCTTGATAATGTTCCTCTGGAGCAGGGTGATGGTAAGTGTTTACCTGGACATAGAGAAACGGTGATTGTACGTTTTACCTGGATGCTGAGAAACACTGATGGTGAGTGTTTACCTGGACATAGAGAAACAATGATTGTATGTTTTACCTGGATACAGAGAAAAACTGATGGTGAGTGTTTACCTTGATATAGAGAAACAGTGATGGTGAGTGTTTACCCAGGAACAGAGAAACAGTGATGGTAAGTGTTTACCTGAATACAAAGAAACAGAGATTGTATGTGTTTACCTGGACAGAGAAACAGTGACGGTCGGTGTTTACATGGACACAGAGAAACAGTGATGATAACTGTTCACTGACAAAACAGCGTTTACTGACAAACCCCCCAAAAAAAGTTAGTTGCGTATCCTTTACAGGACTTAGCAGAACCAACCCCAACATTTTTTTGGGCTGTTGTGGTTTTTCTAGGCAAATTTATGTCCAGTAGTTGTCTATTTCTTTCTGGACGGTCCGCTTGTTGATACCACTGTCAAAACCAATGCAGGGGATTGAACCCAGCACCCTGGCATTACAAAGAGCCTTCATAATGCCTAAGCCATAGAGGCCAACATTTACTGACAAAATCACTGTTTACTGACAGACATCGCTATTTACTGACAAACGTCTCTGTTCACTGACAAACATCACTGTTTACTAATAAGACGCTACTATCTAGATATAATTACCTGTAAGAACTGATGGCTGCGGTGAGGCATGCTGGAGTGAGGTGACAGCGGCAGAACACTGGAAGGCCCACTAATTGAGTAGCGGCCGTGACGGGAGGTAGCACCAGGACTGACACCTGTCAGGTGACTCAACATTGAACTAGGGTATAAACCCAACAAGGTCTGGTTTGAGCTGTCAGTGTGTGCAACTGCCCTGTCACTGACATCCAAAGGCAAGCATGCAGACGGGTAAGACGTTGTGGATGAGAGGGAACACAGCTGCTGCTGATGGTACTGTGGTGGTGGAGTAAAACAGGAGGGTGTAGGTTCCAAACCCAAACTGGAGTCCACACTGGTGGATGGAGACAGAGTTCCAGAGATGGCACTTGTATAGCTCTGGTTATCTGGATTATTCTGGTATCTCTCTGCTCTGGGAACAGCAAAACTGGAGAATGACCCTGCTGCTCTGGATGAAAAGCCTAAACCCATTGAAGTTACAAATTCTGTATCTGAGGATGAGTCTCGCCGATCAATAATATCAGCCTCTACACCTTCATCAATAGAAGTAGTAATCACATTGCTAGGAATGGCTGCTCCTGTTTCACACAGAGCCGGCGAGGGCTGGGGAAATGGCTGGGGAAGAAGTTCGGCCATGCAGTGTGCTACATTCGGCAGTGGTGCCACAACATCTACCTCCCCCAGAGGGTAGTGTCTGTGCACAAGAACAGTGCCTGCTCCTGGGGCATCCAAAGTTCTGGAGAAACCGCCAACTTTTGTGTTTCCAATAAGGGGTCTGCCAGGTATGTTCTGAAGCATGGCTTGTTCTGCTATGGTGCTGGGTCTACGCCTGCGTGCGTCCACCCGTGTGTCAGTGGGGAAACTGCTGCGGTGATGTCGAAGTCTATCCAAAAGCAAGTAGTATATTGCTGTATAGTGGTCGTATGCATCTTTACGCAGCGCCTGCAAGGAAGTAAATAAACAGAGATAAACTCGGCTAAATGGGTCTTTACTAGCGATTGTTTCACTGAAGATATCTCAGCCAGGTGGATCTCTACTAGCCATCATTACACTGAACAAATCTTAGCTAGATAGGACTTTTTTTTAGCCACTATTTCACTGAAGATATTTGAGACAGATGGATCTTTACTAGCCAATGTTTTATTGAAGATATGTTAACTGGGTGCATTTTGTTTTTTAAAACCATAATTTCATTGAAGATATTTGAGACCGATGGATCTTTACTTGCCATAATTTCACTGAAGGTATCTCTGATAGACGGATCTTTACAAGCCATTATTTAACTGACGTTCTTTACTAGAGGGATCTTTACAAGCCATTCATTGCAGTAAATATATGTTAGCTAACCAAAGGTAGCTTAATACAACATCAAGAGTACAGATACAGAAGTGTCTATATACCAGCATGTGAACATCAGACAGAATCAAGTGTACAAATATAGAAGTGCCCATGTACAGACAACATAAAGTACACAAATATAAAAGTGCCCATGTACAAACAACATAAAGTGTATAAACATAGAAGTCCCCATGTACAGACAACATCAAGTGTATAAATATAGAAGTTTCTATGTACAGACAATATCAAGTGTACAAATATAAAAGTGCCCATGTACATACAACATAAAGTGTACAAATATAGAAGTTCCCATGTACAGACAATATCACGTGTACAAATATAGAAGTTCCCATGTACAGACAATATCAAGTGTACAAACACAGAAGTCAAAGAAGTTACAAACAGCAGATTGCACAATTTATTGCCAGGAATATTTCACTGTATCTCATCAGGTGCATACCACAGTAACAATTCCATAAAATGAAGCAGATATAACCACCTTTATAAACGAAGCACAAGTTTAACACCGATAAAAAATAACTGCCTGCTATACCAGGGCAGCCGCAATGTCTTAATCCTATCTTTTTGTATACAGAGTTCAGTGCGCAGGTGACGAATTGCGGCAGTTTCAAGAAATCTTAGCCTTCTGCCACTGGCTGACATGTGAAGGATTTGAAATACATTGTCCTTGGTTATAGTGTGTCCAGATTTTTAAAAGATGACATGCTACTGTAGAGGGATGATCTTTACGGCCTGTATTCTGATTTGAATATTATTTTGCATGGCTTTTCCACCCATATTGGAACGTGCTCAGTGACTCATTTCTCAAAGCGTCGATCAGTTCTGCCTACACAAGCAGCTTTCCAGATGCATTTAAATTGGTAGAAACAATTTGCTCTGGCGTACGTCAACACTGGTTGTTTTACTGAAGGCATTGGCACGGGTGTTGTTTTAAAACTGACACTAGTCAAAGCATCATAGAAAGTTTGACTGACTGCTGTTCTAAACTGGTCATATAGATGTTTCTTAACATCATCCCCTCAAAATGTTACATGGATGTAGACTTGTTGTTTGGGGACTGACGTTTTTGTGGCAGTTGGTTGAGGAGGCTGGCAGTGGCACTTAATAAATCAAACCAGATTTCCATTTGATAATAACGTTTGCTTGAGAATTTCTAGTTTAATTGTAGTGAATCATTGGAGCAAATCTTTCTAGCGCACTTGGAACTATAGAAGTGCCCATGTACAGACAACATCAAGTGTACAAATATAGAAGTGCCCATGTACAGACAACATCAAGTGTACAAATATAGAAGTTCCCATGTACAGACAACATCAAGTGTACAAATATAGAAGTGCCCATGTACAGATAATATCAAGTGTACAAATATAGAAGTGCCCATGTACAGACAACATCAAGTGTACAAATATAGAAGTGTCCATGTACAGACAACATCAAGTGTACAAATATAGAAGTGCCCATGTACAGACAACATCAAGTGTACAAATATAGAAGTGCCCATGTACAGATAATATCAAGTGTACAAATATAGAAGTGCCCATGTACAGACAACATCAAGTGTACAAATATAGAAGTGCCCATGTACAGACAACATCAAGTGTACAAATATAGAAGTGCCCATGTACAGACAACATCAAGTGTACAAATATAGAAGTGCACATGTACAGACAACATCAAGTGTACAAATATAGAAGTGCCCATGTACAGACAACATCAAGTGTACAAATATAGAAGTGCCCATGTACAGACAACATCAAGTGTACAAATATAGAAGTGCTCATGTACAGACAACATCAAGTGTACAAATATAGAAGTGCCCATGTATAGACAACATCAAGTGTACAAATATAGAAGTGTCCATGTATAGACAACATCAAGTGTACAAATATAGAAGTGCCCATGTACAGACAACATCAAGTGTACAAATATAGAAGTGCCCATGTACAGACAACATCAAGTGTACAAATATAGAAGTGCCCATGTACAGACAACATCAAGTGTACAAATATAGAAGTGTCCATGTATAGACAACATCAAGTGTACAAATATAGAAGTGCCCATGTACAGACAACATCAAGTGTACAAATATTGAAGTGCCCATGTACAGACAACATCAAGTGTACAAATATAGAAGTGCCCATGTACAGACAACATCAAGTGTACAAATATTGAAGTGCCCATGTACAGACAACATCAAGTGTACAAATATTGAAGTGCCCATGTACAGACAACATCAAGTGTACAAATATAGAAGTGCTCATGTACAGACAACATCAAGTGTACAAATATAGAAGTGCCCATGTACAGACAACATCAAGTGTACAAATATAGAAGTGCCCATGTACAGACAACATCAAGTGTACAAATATAGAAGTTCCCATGTACAGACAACATCAAGTGTACAAATATAGAAGTGCCCATGTACCAACCTCCATCGTTTTCTTGTGATCGATGCCTAAACTCTGCATAATCCTCAAGATCTGTTCGTTGAACTCCCCAACTTTGGCATTGTAACCAACAATAGGAGAGGGCGGGGCAGTGCGTGTACAGCCGCCATTCGACTGCATCCAGCGATGAGCACGGATCTGAGCAATGTTGTATCTCTTGGCTGGGTCCAACATCAACATTCTTCTGATCAAGTGCTCACAATCTGTATAATATCCATGTATAGCAAAGTTAGAATGAGTGTTGGATGTTTGACTCACAGAGTTGGACGTTAGTGCTATCTTGTTGAAATTTCGATGCTATCATAATTATTATTTCAATGAGAGTCCTTGCAAGTTTGCTCCATCAAAAGGAAGAGCACCACAGACCAGCACATAAAGAACTACACCCAAGCTCTAGGGATAACAAGAGAATAAATACACCAGCATTGACTAGGCACTGACTGTTGTTTATCACCACTTGGTTCACCTGTTCATATCTTACTGAGGACATAAAGTAAGGGACTCGAATCCGAGCACTTCAATCTGTTCAATTCTGTACTTGGTCAGTTCTGTAACAGAGAGAATACTTTCGATGCAGATGTTTTATGTGTCACAAGCTCAAACACATGTAATGTAGTGGTTGATCTTCTTCTTCTGCGCACACCCTGAAAAGGGGCGGGTGGCACGTTGAACTGTGGTTTACAGCTAGGCTGCAATATTTGTGCATTTTGGCCCAACAAATCTGATTTCAGCAAAAACCATAGCTGTCTTTTTTTTTTCTCCTGCCAGAAGGTTCATTATTTGTTCCAGATCTCTCTCTCTCTCTTCCTCTCCCCCTCTCTCTTCCTCTCCCTCTCTCTTCCTCTCCCTGTGTGTGTGTGTGTGTGTGTGCATGCGTGTGCATGCTTGTTTATGTATGTGTGTGTGTGTGAGTGAGTGTGTGTGTATGCGTATATGTATGATATGTATATATGAGTGTGTAAGTGTTTGTGTAGGTATGAGCATGTAAGAGTGTGTGTATGTGTGTATTTCTGAGTGTGTATGACTGTGTATGTATGAAATGTGTATGTATTATTTTATAATGTATATTTTTATACAAACATAATATGCATTACTGATAATATGCAACTTTGGTCTGAAAGATGAGTGCTTGGATGGGCCAAATGTAAGACATGCCTGCGTGCCCAATAAGTAACCCTCTGAAAATAAAGTCTGTTCGTTCATTCATTCACAAACAGTGCTTCCAAGATAAACACACATATGACTAACTGACATACAAGTTAAAATTTTTATTAAAAATCAACATTACAGCACCCTGGACATTCCCATAAGCACTCCATGCTCATCTTCAGCAGCACGCACAGAGTTGCAGTTTTGATGGAACCAATAACAGTCTTTGTATGTTTACTAAACAAACACACAATGGACAGATGTGTGTCTACTAAATAAAACATATAAATCACTGACATATATATGTCTATCTCTATGTCTAATATCATCGTCATCATCATGTAGCAGGTTCTTTGCAGAACATCGCTCTCATTACAGTTTGACTGAAAGGAACTCAGTCTATCGCCAGTTCTCCCTCCTCATGCACTTTCACACTCAGGGAGTCACTTATATCCTGTGCCCGTGTCGGTCGGCCCCTGCCCCTCCTTCCTGGTACCATGCTTTCTGCTATAATTTGTTCCAATCCGTCGTGGCGCTTGATATGACCAAAATATTTAAGCTTTCGAGAAAGGATGCTGTTTATTAGCCAATCTTCCTTGACGTTCAGATCTTTTAAGATGTCAATATTTCTCCTCTTCTTTGTCCAAGAATGTCTAATATACTTCTCTTAAAATGTAAGGGCGGAAGAGAGGAGCTATCATCACATACCCAAATATCAATCTGTGGCCCCAGATATTTCTTGCCTTCATACACTTCTGGCGCGGCATAAGGTGGGCTACCACACCATGTGGCTAACAGTTCATTTGGCTCAAAAAAGTTGCCAAAACCAAAATCTGAAACATGGAAAGAGTATTTATTTGTTTTGTACACATTTTATTTTATGATCATAGTTTTTAGTAAAGTGATAGTGAAATATTACTAGGTATCACTAAAATATTCATATCTAGAAGGTTATCAATAGAAATGAAATGTCACTAGTATAACTTATATGTTATTAGTATCTTTAAAATTAAAGGCAACACACAGTGACATAAAGAAACTCTAAAAGAGAGATTCTAGAACACACACCAAAACATATAGAGAAACTATAGAACACACACCATTTTATATATATAATGAAACTAGAACACGCTAGAACACACACATCACATAAAAACAACTCTAGAGCACACACAATGACATATAAAGAAAATCTAGAACACACACCATGACTTATTAAAAAATTAGAACACACAATCTGACATATAAATAAACTCTAGAACACACATAATGACACACAAAGAAACTCTAGAACACACACCATGACATACAAAGAAACAAAGAAACTCTATAACATACATACGACACAAAGAAAAAAAACCTTTATAACATGCAAAATGACATTAAACTTACAATATGCACATTAGCACGTAAAATATTCACAATACACCTAACCGCACACTCAGTAACTTTCTAAAACATATATTTACATTTTAAAATAACTAAAACACACATACACACACACAAAGAGTCACAAAACGACTCTACAAAACACCCAATAAGACGTCAGGTAACACTTGAATGTATACAGACACAGTCTGCCTACCAGCAATTTTAATATTCATATTAGCATCCAGCAGTAAGTTCTCTGCCTTCAAATCCCGGTGTACAATATGCCTGTTGTGGCAGTACTCCACAGCAGCGATGATCTGGCAGAACTTGTTCCTGGCATCGGTTTCTGTCATTCTGCCATGCTGAGCAATGTAGTCTGCAAGCAGAAGAATAAGTCATTTCTCCTGGACAACAACAATCAAATACAGGGCCCCCCTCAACTTATAATTCTCGATTTATAACCAAGTTCTGCTCCGACTAACAGGTCGTAAGGAAAAAGACTGTCGAATTTATATATTTTTGTCAAGCGCCACAACAAATTGGAAAAAATAATAGCAGAAGGCGTGGTCATAGAAAGGAGGGGCAGGGGCCGACCGACATGAAGATGGGCACAAGATATAAGTGACTCCTCCTTGAGACGAGAGAGCTGGCGAGAGACCAAGTTTCTTTCAGGCAGACCTTGATGAGAGCGACATTCTGCAAAGGATGATGATGTATAAATATTGTACGTAATGGGAAAAATGCATAATATGTACTCTACTGCAGCACTTCTGGGAACTTTTTGACCATGCCAAAGTTGTCTTTCTCTATTTACTATTTTTTATTTATTCATTTTTGTGTGGTCATAAGTGCAGATGGTTATGAGTGGCATAGGTTCTATGTCTAGGAGAATGTGTACACAGAATTCTTGGGGAGTGGGGGAACAGACAGTGTTGTGTCCTAAAAGGGGACAAAATTAGGGTTTTCTGGGATCAGATGTGTTGGGCTGAAAGACGCAGATATCACAGCCTAGCTATAAACCACAACATAATGTGCAGGCTGTCATTTAAGGGCAAACACAGAGGTAGAAACAGTCTGAAAGACTGGGAATAAAAAAAAAGATTAGGGGAGGGGGGGGGGTGGGGGAAGGGGGTGGGGGCTAAATGAAGCCATACAAGCTAAAGATAGATAGAAGTGGAAAGATCAAATCAAGAAATAAAACAAGTAGCAGAATCAGGGGGTGTGTATCTAGGACAAGAGACAGGGCATGCTGGAGATTCAAGGCAGCCAATCTTGATTGTTGAGATGGTACCTGATCAGTGGAGTCGAAGCAGAGCAAAAATAAAAATACAGAACAATACCAAACAGAGATTCACAGATCAGTCATTAGTATATGCTGTCACGTGAGTGTTAAGCGATTTGTTTTCATTGTGTTCATTGCCTATAAATTTTGCAAAAAGCTGTGATTGTTCGTCCACTTCTGAATTATCGACTTATTCCTAAACAGGAGTTTTGCATGCACATTAATTTTACAGATCTGGCTTACTTGAAAGCAGACTGTTGGTTCCTGCCTATGAGGCAGTAGCACTCCAACTTTAAAAGACTTGTTAGGGAATGGTGGGTCTAAAAAAAAGGGTGGCCCCAGATCCATACTGGAGCTGTTAAGTATCAAAACAAAGGTTTTAGGTCGGAACTGTGAAAAAACATCGGTAATGATAATAAAAAAAAATTTTTTTTTTACTTCAAAAAATTTAAAATAAAGTAACTCTAGCGTTACTGTTATCTGCCTGAGAGGCAGGGAACTAACCGTCTGCTTACAAACATACATGTAAAACAGATGTGCACACAAATCTCAAGTTCTGGAACTTGGTAAGGCAAACAGTTTCTTACTTTAGACAAACACAAACAAGATTTTTTCAAAGCTGAACATTTTTAAAATAAAACTGCTGATCTAAATCCCCCCCCCCCCCCCTTTTTTTTTCCAGTTTAAAGAACTGACGAAATTCTAAATGCAGTCTCTATTTAGAACAGCCGACTGGGCAGAAAGTAATTGTAGAGCTAAATGTGGACACAATCACTGCAACAGTACAACATCTCCTTGTATCACAGATGCGTCTATTTCCGTGAGTGGGGAGTTATAAATAGATTCTGTGCCACAGGTGACCTTTTCCAAGACTGCCGGTTAATGTCTTATGAAATACCAGGGGGCGGCGGTGATGAGGTAAGTATGGGACGCGTGTAAGGTATGGTATTGAGTATGGAGCAGGGACGGGGATAAGGTGTGGGATGGGTCAAAACTGTCTCCAGTCCTGGAGAAAGCCTTGGATGGGTTATGGAGCGGGGATAAGGTATGGTGCAGGTATAAGGTATTGGATGGAGTATGGGGCGGTGGTTGTGTATGCGTGTTGTCGGGAGCGGTTGTGAATCTGTTACATCGGTGACAAGTTAGACAAGATGATGACTGCGGACATCTTGAACAAATAATTCCGCTGAGAAACAACCGACCCGGTTGCTTCGAGATACCAGCTAAGTGATTTTGTGTATCTGTGTAGTATTGTTTTATTTGTGCTGATAAAGGCTCAATAGTCGCAACGTTCATGTTTTGTTTGTATTTGTTATATTGTGAAGCTTGCTAATATACTTTTCGTTCGGTTTTATATCTTTTCTTGAACAAATAAAGCGTGCCCATGTGACAAGACACCGGAGGGAAGAAGGGACGCACTCACCCCCCCCCCCCCCCCCCTCATACAAATTATCGGGAAGGGACCCCTTGGGGGCGGAAGGAGGGTTTTGAGGTTCCTGATCTCCCAGGTTCCAGCGCCTACACAAGACGCAGCTACCAACCCCTCACTGAACTGAAATCTCGCTGACGCTGCCCGATCACTGGTGTTATTTTCAGTCAGTGATACACACCGTTCCGTTTTACAAAAAACACACACACACACACACACAAAGCTCAACCACGTTCAACCTGCTGTTAGCTAGCCAAAGCTGCCAACAGTCTCTGGTTATATTAGTGGTCTGGTTTCTTTGCGACACTTTCGTGGCTACAGTTCTGCTATGTGATCTAACTCTCTGGCTTAATGTCCCCGTCTTCAAAGACAGACCGCTCCACCCTTTCCTGTGTGCCAGTGTGACGATTCACATGCCCCATCTAGTCTATGTATAATCTCGCCATTAAAGAGTCAGCTATGTTGCACAACAATGTTTTCCCGTAGTGAGTTCAATAAAAGAGAACACAAAAAAATATATACGTGTAGTAATGCACCTGATGAGTAACAGCCAACTACTCCGGGCAATAAATTGTGCAACATGCTGTCTGTGTCTTAATTATTTAAATGGCATGCATACACATCGACCGTTGAGCGTGATTGGCAAGAGCATTGCCTAGGAAAGCAGCCAATAAATGCTAAGGGTTGGTTTCTGAGGCCCTGTACAGGAAACAGCACTAACTCATATGGCCACAACATCGTAAAACTGCAATTTTAAAATGGGGTACGTGGAGCGCTGTTGGCTGCAAGAGTGACCAGAAAACTCAAGATTGAGTTACAGGTGAAAATGACGGCAAAGAACATACTAAATTACATATACTAGGACCCTTTTCCGCGCAAATGGGCCTGGACCTATGTTTTATAGATCAATCGGCACTTTCTTAGTTATGTGGTCAGCATCGCGCCAGCCGCCTTTACTTCACAGAACTATACCTAGTACTCACTCAAGGATGGGTCGACCTGGAAGCCAAGGTCATTTTTTGAGAAAAAGAAAAAACTGTCCGGTTCTGCCAGGACTCGAATCTGCGACGTTACGAACCACAAATTACATATTAAATTATACATAAAGATAACAAATAAAATGGTTTGTAACCTTACGGAAAATGACTTTTTTTTTTTTTTTTGCTATACCATACAAGGCGTGGAAACTTACATCCTCCAATGAACGTAAAATTGTGACAACAGAGATGAAATGCCTTAGAAGAGCTGCAGGAGTTTCAAGGAAAGACAGAATACGAAATCATGAAATCAGACGAATGCTAGTCTCACAGGTCATCAAAGAACATCAAATAAAGTGGTTTGGACACCTAACAAGAATGCCCTGGTACTATCTGCCACAGCGAGCCACATTAAAACGTTACAACGGTAAGAACAGCCTTACAGAAATGAACATCCGTCTTAATAGTGCTCTTGACAGAGCTCATCAACGTACATTACATCTCCCCCGACACCTCAATGAGGTACAAGGTGGAAGAGAAGAAGAAGAACCATCCAAGGCAACTACTAAAAGGGGAACGCATGAATCAAGAATGGACATCACTGCACTCGGTCATCACCACATGTACCCAGTCCCGTTCCTGCAGTAGCTACCGAAGAGCTAGCTACCAAAAAAGAAAGGGGACCCTAAACATAAACCAAGGAACAAAACGGAACGGTAACTTCAGAAAAACTCTTCGGCGGAATGAAGTGTCTGTAGTCGAGGCAGGCACGCGAAAATATCGCTGAGTGCATGACAGCTTTCAGTCAGTGTGTTACCTAGCTCTAGCTAGAGAGCAGCAATGATTTTTAACACTAAATGAATGAATAGGTGAATGAATGAATGAATGAATAAACTGATATAACTGCACTCGGGACATGCTCACACATGCTCTGTTTTCTTCTGCAGTAGCCCAGAAGCCCCCCGTGCCCCGCTTCCTCCCAAATCCAGTTGCAAATGTCTTTCAATATATTTATTCTCCGAATGTTCTATTGCACTACTCATTTGATCCCAGCTAGCATTCACCATGTCCGTGCTTTATCACAAAGTAACTCACCACCCAGAGGAGCAGCAGGAGTCCATTTACCAGCCTACTCGTTACATCGCACACCCGAATTTCCTGGACAGAACATCCATGATACGCTCTGGATCTGTCTTATCGAGTGATGCAAGCCATTGTATGCACAGGACGCCATTTTCAATTCCCCTAAGCCCGCACAGTGAGCCCGTTACAATTACAAGATGTTGAGCCGGAAAGCTGCCGTGACTTCCTCCACCACCAGTCTCACACAGGATGTTGTGAGGCTTCTGTTTTTAGTGTCCATTCGCCCAATCTTCTTACGTCTCAGTATAGACCCATTTGTGTATATGATTACACCTGGGCGTGAATTTTCACTGAATTATTATATAAGAAGATGTTAACGGTGTAACATGATGTCACTGTGTCATAGGAGGCGACTAAGTAGGGTTGGTCTGAGACTAGGTGCCCTAACCCCTATTAAAGTTTAAAAAACCTAACAATCCATAAACGTTAACTTAAAAGAGCTTGACGTGAGTTGGTTGAGGACTTATGCTAGGCTGAATGAAGTCAGGAGAGGCAAGCAAGCAGAAGGGAGATAAAAGACACAGAAAGTGAGAGATGGAGTAAATGGAGCGAGAGAGTGAGACAATTTACATACATACATACATGTATGCATACATGCACTCATACATGCACGCACATACATACATACATACATACATACATACATACATACATACATACATACATACATACATACATACATACATACATACATGTATGCATACATGCACTCATACATGCACGCACATACATACATACATACATACATACATACATACATACATACATACATACATACATACATACATACATACATACATACATACATACATACATACATACATACATACATACATACATACATACATACATACATACATACATACATACATACATACATACATACATACATACATACATACATACATACATACATACATACATACATACATACATACATACATACATACATACATACATACATACATACATACATACATACATACATACATACATACATACATACATACATACATACATACATACATACATACATACATACATACATACATACATACATACATACATACATACATACATACATACATACATACATACATACATACATACATACATACATACATACATACATACATACATACATACATACATACATACATACATACATACATACATACATACATACATACATACATACATACATACATACATACATACATACATACATACATACATACATACATACATACATACATACATACATACATACATACATACATACATACATACATACATACATACATACATACATACATACATACATACATACATACATACATACATACATACATACATACATACATACATACATACATACATACATACATACATACATACATACATACATACATACATACATACATACATACATACATACATACATACATACATACATACATACATACACACATACACACATACACACACACATGCACAGAGAGAGAGAAACACACACACATACACACACATATACATACATACATTCATATACACCCACACATACACAAATACAGGGATTGAAAGAGAGAGATGGGGCAGAGAGAGAGAGAGAGAGAGAGAGAGAGGGAGAGAAAGAAAGAGAGAGAGAGAGAGAGAGAGAGAGAGAGAGAGAGAGAGAGAGAGAGAGAGAGAGAGAGAGAGAGAGAGAGATGGGCATAGGATAAATAAAGACAAGAGTTCTGGTCGCTGTGTCGACTGCAACATTCATCAAACTAGCAAGCACAACGACAACAACAAACAAACTCACCAAATATTTCCCCTTTGGGGGCGTACTCGGAGACCAGGTAAAGCATGTTCTTGGTCTCCATCACCTGGTTGGAAAAGAATCATAGATACATGTCTGGTGCTGGTGAAGAGTGGCAGAGCTCCTGTTGGAAGTTTCAAAAGCAGAAAGGATCGACTTCACTGCATTAGATCTTATCCCACAGGGCAGTCTCTTTCCACAGAACGGCTAGCCGCCTGACAAGAGTATAGCGCAAAGCACGAACGATTCTCCAGTCACCGTCAAAACTGTATATTCGTGAACCGAAGGACGCGGTCAATGAAACGAACCTACGACCTTCAGAACGCAAGATAAACGACTCAGCTGCAGAGATGGCTAGCCCTCCTACAGACAGTGACACTTGTTAACCAATCAAGGATGTCCTATCTACCATGGACAATGATCTTACATTAACCTCCTAGTATCTGGTAAATATAGCATTGAAATTAATGCTGAGAAGTGCAAGATTCTCGTTAATAGCCACAATAACCACAAAACACACACACACACATACACACGCACGCACGCACACACACACACACACACACACACACACACACACACACACACACACACACACACATACAAGACTAGAAAAAGTGGAATCCTTTAAATACCTCGCTCCCACGTATGTAACCATGGCAGCTGTACCAGAGAGATCAAACACAATGCATGATGTAGCAACAGCTGCAATGTTCCAGCCGAATACGATGTGGAAGAGCAAAATCATCATCGCAGTAAAGGTCAATATGTACAAATCACTGGTATTGTCTATTTTCTTATACAGATAAGTTGGACTCTCAATGTGGAAGTGGAAAGGAGGATTCAAGCTTTCGAATGTAAACAATTATTATAGTCGAATTTTACACATTAATTATTTAGAACACAAAACTAGCAAATATGTCAGAGACGAAATAAACACATTAGCAGGACGCCAGAACCGTCTCTTGGCAGTGGTGAAACTTTGCAAGCTAGCTTAGTTCGAGCACGTGGTGAGACATGACTTCATTGCAAATACTGTACTTCAAGGATCATTGGGGGCAGTCAAAGAAGAGAAGGGCAAAGAAGAACGTGGAATGACAACATCAAGAAATGGACAGGACTAAGATATCATACACTTGTTCAAAAAGCGGCAAACAGAGAAAATAGGTGCGTTTTGTAAAACCACATTGCAGCTTCCAAATAATTCTTCACTGACCAACCAACTGTTCATGGTTCACTTATATATATCAGGATAGGATTTATATACATGGTTCATAGCTAAACTTCCCAATCCATTTCAAGGTCCTTTTCAAGGTATTCTTAGTTTTTTCTTTTCTTTTCACGGTTATATCATACAGCTTTTAAGAATTCTCTATCTCGTCTCAATTAATCAGTGGTTTTCAGCACCCATTCCCCCCCCCCCCCTAGCAGGTGGCGCGACATTTAATTTATAGCAAGACCCCAACGCCCCCCCCCCCCCTTTCTCTTATCCAAAATAATATGCAGTTAAATGCACACGTTATCCTATTAATTACAATTTCAACGGTAAATGTACAAGCTGTTCATGAAAACAAAAAGTCCTTGGCTTTAAAAAAAAATGTATTTATAAATAGTTTTAAAAAATATTATATTTATACTGACCAATGTTGTTGTTGCTGTTGAGTATAACAGATTAGTATTACAAGTACACATGCACTCAATGTTAAAAATTGCTTGACGCCCTTGGTGAAACCTCCTTGCGTCCCAAGGCTGAACACCACTGATCTAATATCTCTTGAACCTTGAGGTGTTGAGGTAAAGTGTCTTCCACACTCCCTACAGTTACTTTATCAAAGTGTTGGGGTGTTGAGGTAAAGTGTCTTCCACACTCCCTACAGTTACTTTATCAAAGTGTTGGGGTGCGGGGTGTCTTTTGTGTGCTCTTTCTACAGAAATCAACACGCAGAAATAAGGAGTAACCTTTGAATCAAGACTCACATGGAGAAAACAGATAGAAAAGACACAGAGCAAGGGACTCAAGAGAACACAACTGATGAGGAAGTTAGCTGGAACAGACTGGGGGGCAAACCTCAATGTCCTTAAGAGGACCTATACAGGCTATGTGAGGCCAACACTAGAATATGGAATAGCTGCTTGGGGCACAGCAGCTAAATCAAATTTTCAGAAAGTCTCAAAGATCCAAAACCATGCTCTCCGCATTATGACAGGGGCAATGCGCTCCACGCCCATATCAGATATGGAAACAATTACTGGTCTCCATAATCTGGAAGATAGGAGAGACACAAAGATCCTCACCCAGCTCTCCAAATACCACCACTTTCAATAACAACCCATGTACAGCCGACTGCAGAAACCCCAGAAGGCTAGACTAAAGAGAACTTGCTTTATTAAGAACGCAAATGCCAAGCTCGCTGTCCTTAAACTCCCTCCCATAATACCAAATGTTCCACTTAAACCTTACAACGACTGCCCCGCTTGGCTTAGGGATAGCCTACCAACAGTCAGAACCACTGTAACAGGGGTCTCCTCCAAATCATCAATGAGCAGCACTGATATGAAATCAACTACAGAACGAGAGATCAATAGACTTTACCCACACCAGAGTTGGATTCGAGTGTATACAGATGTTCAGCCAAGAGAGCAGTAAGAGAACGGAGGAGGAGGAATATACATAGAATGCCCAAATGGTTTTAAAATCAACCAGGCTGTACCAACAGGTTCATATTCCTCCAATTACAGAGCAGAGGCAGAAGCACTTCTAGCCGCGTGTTCTTTCCTGAATGGACAACAGCACAGCAAATATAGCAGAGTGGTCTTTCTGACTGATGCTATGTCAGTTTTACAAGCAATTGTTAACCCAAAAGACACTCAGTTTGTAGACTTGACGCAACAGCTGATTTACTTAGGCTCTTCAGTAGAACAATCTGTACTGCAGTGGATTCCAGGTCACTGTGGCTTGGAAGGCAATGAAATAGCGGACAGATTGGCCAGAAGCGCCAGTGACATGGTACAACCAAATAGCGACTTAACCCACCAAGAGATGAAAACACTAATACAATCTAGTATCCAAGAAAGGTGGCTGGATACCCACAACAGATTTTCTCCCCAAGACTCACTTCATCGCCTCACTAGAGAGGGACAATCTATTATATTCGAACTAAGGACAGGGCACAACAGATTTCGTCAACATATGTTCAAATTTTTCGGTGTAGGAAATACGGAGACGTGTCCCTGCAGCGTGGCACCCGAAAATGCTGAGCATGTGCTCCAACACTGTCAACTGTATGCTGACAACAGAGACGCAATCTGGCCTGTTCTAACCACAATGAAGACAAAACTGTATGGTACACGAGAGGATATGGATTGCACGATAACTTTCATAAAGGCTACCAGCCTCCTGATATAAGTTTTCTGACAGAAGGATCGAAGAAGAAGAAGAAGACCAGGAAAAAAGAAAAAGAAAGAAAAAACAAAACAGGGCAGGTGACATCTCCGCCGGTGATGGTAGTGTATGGCAGGCACTCATAGAAAGAGTAAAGATACACCTATTACACGACTCACCTGTGATACATACAACTCATCTCTTACACGACTCACCTGTTACACTACTCATCTGTCCACGATTCACCAGTTACACTACTCATCTGTCCACGATTCACCTGTTACACTACTCATCTGTCCACGATCCACCTGTTACACTACTCATCTGTTCACGATTCAACTGTTGCACGACTCACCTGTTACACTACTCATCTGTTCACGGTTCACCTGTTGCACGACTCATCTGTTCACGACTCACCTGTTACACTACTCATCTGTTACACGATTCCCCTGTTGCACGACTCACCTGTCACACAACTTACTTGTGACACAATTCGCATGTGAAACGACTCGCCGTTAACACGACTCACCTGTTACACGACTCACATGTGACACGACTCGTCAGTAAAACGACTCACCTGTGACAAGTCACACCTGTTACACGACACACCTGTGACAAGACACGTCTGTTACACGACTCACCTGATATAGTTTGATGATGTGGTGGTGGCTGATGAGTTTCATGATCTGCACCTCCCTGTAAACCTTCTTTAGGTTGACCTCATCCAACTGTGTTTTGTCAATGATTTTGATCGCCACCTTTTAGACAAAAATATAAACAGCTCACACAGACTGCCGTCATCATTACCATCCTCATCAGCATTACCATCATCATCATTACCATTATCATCAGCATTACAACCATCATCATCATCAGCATTACCATCATCATCATTAGCATCATCATCATCAGCAATACCATAATCATCAGCATTACCATCATCATTAGCATTACCATCATTCACAGCAGCATTACCATCATCATCATCAGCATTACCATCATCATCATCATCAGCATTACCATCATCATCAGCATTACCATCATCATCATCAGCATTACCATCATCATCATCACCACCATCATCATCAGCATTACCATCATCATCAGCATTACCATCATCATCATTACCATCATCATCATCATCATCACCATCATAATCATCAGCATTACCATCATCATCATTAGCATCATCATCATCAGCATTACCATCATCATCATCAGCATTACCATCATCATCAGCATTACCATCATCATTAGCATTACCATCATCAGCATCGGCATTACCATCATCATCAGCATTACCATCATCATTAGCATTACCATCATCATCAGCATTACCATCATCATCATCAGCATTACCATCATCATTACCATCATCATTACCATCATCATCATCAGCATTACCATCATCATTATCAGCATTACCATCATCATCAGCATTACCATCATCATTAGCATTACCATCATCATCATCATCAGCATTACCATCATCATCATCAGCATTACCATCATCATCATCATCAGCATTACCATCATCATCAGCATTACCATCATCATCATCAGCATTACCATCATCATCATCAGCATTACCATCATCATTAGCATTACTATCATCATCATCAACATTACCATCATCATCAGCATTACCATCATCATCAGCATTACCATCATCATCAGCATTACCATCATCATCATCATCATCAGCATTACCATCATCATCATCACCACCATCATCATCAGCATTACCATCATCATCATCAGCATTACCATCATCATCATCAGCATTACCATCATCATCGGCATTACCATCATCAGCAGCAGCATTATCATCATCGTCAGCATTACCATCATCATCATCAGCAATACCATCATCATCATCAGCATTACCATCATCATCATCAGCATTACCATCATCATCAGCATTACCATCATCATCAGCAGCATTACCATCATCATCATCAGCATTACCATCATCATCAGCATTACCATCATCATCATCAGCATTACCATCATCATCAGCATTACCATCATCATCATTACCGTTATCATCAGTATTACCATCATCATCATTACCATCATCATCATCATCAGCATTGCCATCATCATCATTACCGTTATCATCAGCATTACCATCACCATCATAAGCATTACCATCAGAATGTATCTGCTCTCGTCACGCACACTTGAAAGTCTCTCTTTAACAGACTACCGCAAAGTGGTACTCGTATATTGTTGGTCAGACCCTACGATGAATGTAATCTCATTTGTTTCCCCTTAACCTTCAACGGCTGTAAACCGCGAAAGAGAACTCAGGTTTCTAGTCAATTTCTGGACTGTGGTACTGTTTCACCGGAATGTGGGCTTTGAGTCCAGAACACCAGAAGTAAACGCTGATGGGAGGACACATTTGCTGGATGGGACTCCATCCATATTGAATTGATTACACAGGACAGAATGGAATGGAAAAATAGACTGCGAGTCCTGCGTGACAAATGATGGTACAACAGGACAATTAATCATTTCTGTGAGCAGAAAGTCCTTGATTTTTTTTTTTTTTAAACTTTATACCCCTACGAAATTAAATGTGATCTAAACTTTCAGCTCACTGATTCATCCTTCAACTCGCCGAGATGCTCATAATCTACCATCTGTTGCTATGACCGCATGTACGATCTCACAGCTACGTGTCCCCGATTTGTCAATGGAAATGGGGGACAGCTGGAGACACATGTACGGAAAATACAGATGTAACAGTAATAAGCCCAATTATCATATCCGTCTTGTGTTGACGGATCGGGATGGAAACATAAGCAAGAGTCTGGGCTGTGAAGGCAGTTCAACTTAGACAGACATGGTAAAATATCGATCTGTCTCAGCAGACCATTGGTGCCATTCACCTTACTGCCCCCTTCCCCAACAACAGCACAAGATTTATAGTCAAGTTTTTTGTCCTGTGCTCTTCTATGGTTCAGGCTCATCAGTGTTTTCTGGTTACACTCTTCAAAAACATGCCGCCTGTTTCTCTTTATTTATCTTTTTTTTTTTTTTTCGTTATCTCTACGTGTACATAGGTTTTCTGTTTTTTATTTATGTTTTATTCGTATATTTTTTTTTTTTTTTTTTGGTTCATGCATACAAATGTTGCTGTTGTCTGCACGCGTACATATGTTGTTGTCATCTTCGGGTGAAGATTGCTGTTGCTGTGTCCATATGTACACACGTTGTTGTTATGATCAGGTGTACATCTGTTGTTGTGATCATGTGTACCTTTGTTGTTGTCTCCGTGTGTACATATGTTGTTATGCATTCGTACACATATGCTGTGTTCCCTGGTACAAAGTTTTGTTGTGACCACTTCTACCTTGTTGTTGTTGTTGGCTCCATGTATACACATGTTGTGTATATGTGTACACATGTTGTTATGTTCACTGGTACATATATGTTCGCGGTATCTATGTGTACACGTTTTTGTTGTGTATATAAGCATCTTGTTGTGGCTGTTGTTTTAATTATCCCGCTAAAGGAAGACATGGTTAGGGAACTAGGGGTAGCTGTTGTTCGTCCATCACAATTGTCTATGACCAGTCCTTAGATCCGCTGAGTGAGGTTTTGTGTATGTTAAGTGACCGATAAAGCTAAGTTCTAGCGCTGTGTGGTCCGGGGATTTGGGTCGTATCTGCTGGAGGATTCAGTTCACGGTTGTGTGCGTGTGCGAGTTTGTGTGAGTCTCTCTCTCTCTCTCTCTCTCTCTCTCTCTCTCTCTCTCTCTCTCTCTCTCTCTCTCTCTCTCTCTCTCAAACAGCCACTGCTCCTCTAGCTGCTCACAAGTTACCGCTTCCCATGAAAAAGAGCGTAAACGATCGTGAGCAATGACCAGTGACTTTCTATGAATCAGGATCAAGACCAAACGTCTCCAATGAATTCTTTTAGATGAACCGTTTCTTGTACGTACATGGGTTTTATTTTCCTCAACGCAGTTCACCATATAAGATGCTCTTAGGCAGTCGCTGGTCTGACATAGGGACTACAAGACGCGCGCAGCGCCACTGGGTTTGTTGAAGATTAGCTGGTAGACAAATCGGTTACTGTGACTAGTCCGGTACTGAACAGACGCGAGGTCATAAATGCCGCGTCAGATGCAGATCGCTAGGACAATTCTGATGATAAGCATGACTGTGTATCTCTTGCCAAGGTTGGTGAGTACAGTGGATGCAATCTTGAGCGGCCAAATATGATCTGTTCACTAAAAGCACAATACCTATGGTTATTAAAAACAGAACGGCTGTGATCCGTCGTTTGCTTGTGGGGCTACTGAAGTGGAGACCGCAGCATGTATGGGTATGTCCAGAGGGCTTCTATGATTGTCTTTATTAATCACTAAATACAGCAGAAGTATTTCAGCAATCGCTTGTCATTTATTTTAACAACCCTTCTTCATTCCCAGCTCCTTCCAAACATCGAAGTCTTCATTTCTAGGACATTCGACCTTTTTCTTGTGTTCATAACCCCAAGTGGAGCACGGGTCCCTAGCCAACACACAAACAGTCGCCCTATTCTTTGCTATCCCACGCAGCCTGCCTCATGTCCTCCCCACCTTTTTAGCTTCAGTCTATTCTGGTCTGCTTTATTGCCCTAGTTATACTGCAATCGGCTTTTCTCAAACGCTAGGATCTTTTCCTTACCTCTGGATTCTCTAGATTTGTTTCAAATTTCACTCTCAGATTTCAAGATAAGTGATTCTATCATACTGTTTAATTCCCTCTATTCTGCGCAGGTAGCAGTTAATGAATTATTGCAGTTTATTTGTAATTGCTTTAGTTCTCCATGTTTACTCTCCATACAGCAGTATACGCGTTAATGAATAATATGTGTGTGGGGTATGTGTGTGTTTGTGTGGGTGACTGTGATATATGATAATGGATTCTGTGTGATGTTTGTGGGTGCCTGTGATAAATGACAGTAGATATATGTGTGGTATGTGTGGGTGCCGGTGGTATATGACCGTTGATATATGTGTAGGTGTCTGTGGTATATAACTAGATATGTGTGGGGATGCTTGTTGTATATGGCAGTGGATATCTGGGTGGTGTGTATGGATGCCTGCGGTAAATGATAGTGGATATCTGTATGTGTGGGTGCCTGTGGTATATGCCAATTGATATGTGTTTGGGTGCCTGTGGTGTATGACTGGATATGTGTGTGGGTGCCTGTGGTATATGACAGTGGATATGTGTCGTGTGTATGCCTGTGGCATATGCCCGTGGATATGTGTGTGGTTGCCTGTGGTATATGACAGTGGATATGTGTCGTGTGTGTGTAACTGCCTGTAGCATATGCCCGTGTATATGCGTGTGGTTGCCTGTGGTATATGACAATAGATATGTGTGTAGGTGCCTGTGGTGTATGACCGGATATGTGTGTGGGTGCCTGTGGTATATGCCAATTGATATGTGTTTGGGTGCCTATGGTGTATGACTGGATATGTATGTGGGTGCCTGTGGTATATGAGAGTGGATATGTATGTAGGTGCCTGTGGTATATGAGAGTGGATATGTGTGTAGGTGCCTGTGGTATATGACAGTGGATATGTGTGTGGGGTGCCTGTGGTATATGAGAGTGGATATGTGTTTGGGGTGCCTGTGATATATGAGAGTGGATATGTGTGTGGGTGCCTGTGGTATATAAGGGTGGATATGTGTGTTGGGTGCCTGTGGTATATAACTGTGGATATTTGTGGGGATGCCTGTTATATATGGCA